TTTTTTTAATGATGCTTTTAATTCGTTAAAAGAAATCCAATGTTATCATAGAGATCAAACAGAGGAAGACAAAATGGAAAAGGGGAGTGGATGGGAGTAAAATACAAAATTAATCTCTAAATATTTTTAATACCAAAACTGATTTGGTTATAAATTGAAAGAATGGATAACTGATTTGGTTATAAATTGAATGAATGGATAACTTTAATTATATGTATAGATAAGTAGCTTTTGCTAGGAATAGGAACCATTGTTTTTGTGATAAATTAATTGAGGTGAGTGTAGAATTATAATTGAATGAAGTACAAGTGATTAAATATGACATAACTATTGCATCTAAGAAAACATTATATCATGAAGACAGGACAATTAACTCATCGGCACCAATACCTACACTTAAAAAAAGAAAATTATAAGGTTTTCAGCTCAAGCAGCAGCAACATGGGCTTTGGACTCTGCTGAGCTATAAAAAGAATAATTATCCACATTGCTTCTCACAGAAGTATAAATTATTGATGCTGCAGAAGACAAAAAATTCTCAATCACTTGTACATATTCAAGCAAATTATAAATCACTCACATAAAAATTAATAATTTAATATAATTTGACACTTAATTTATTTACATCAACGGATGAAAAGAAATTATAAATACATCAAATCAATCAACATTTAGATTTAAATAAATCAATTATAATTCACAACATAATAATGAATATATTCATGAATCATTTCATTCTCTTATATTTTTATAATATATTCACACATCAAACAATCAAACATATATATTTATATAATTTAATCCTATGAAATCATTACCTTGTAAAACCTAACAATTCCGTTTACATCATTCTCTTAAATTCAACTCTATTAACACTTTAACTGTTCAGACTTTTAATTTTTTCTTAATTTTTAAAATTTTTATTCATCAAATAATATTTAATTAATTTCAAAAGAATCTCAAACAAATCTCTCGTCTTCTTTATAAGATTTGATCCAATATACCCAATTGTTTTGAAATATTTGCCGGAAAACTCTGGGAACAATCTACGAAACCAGAAAAACCTGTAATGCGAGGATGTATAATGCGTGAGAACGCACTCAAATTACGTCTTCTATTCTTTAATATTTGTTGTTTAATCTTTTTTAATTCTCTCTCTTCCAATTGGGGAGGCAACACCTCAACAGGCAAAGATTGAGGAAGCTGTTGAAATGATGGTTGAAAAGTTGGAGTGTGAGAGTAAAAGAAGCGCACACAAACTCACAAAACTTCACCGTTAAAACAAAAAGATGAGCTTTGTGTTTCAAACTTGATTGTAGGTTTCTGCCTCCAATATCCATTATCCATTGATGTGTTGCACGCTATCACCATTTGAAGCAGGTGAAGCCTTGTGCCTTGGATAACTGAGGGAGGTTTCATATGGAAATTATGTGGAGGCTACGGAATAAGATAGGATCCAATCTAACACAACATTTCCCATCTTTCCTTTTCAATTCATATCAGATTCTAACACTCGTATTTCAATTAAATAATTTAAAGTGGGTTTCTTAATCATAATTCTAAGTACAGTTGAAGAATTAATCAGATTATGTTTTATCGGGTTGGGAGAGTGATCTAGCGTCAAACAGGGGTCGACTGTCTAATCAAAGGGTATCAGATTGATGCCTTTCCAATCGTCATACCTAGGACACACTTAAAACTTAGAAGGAAAACAGGTCAAACTAAATGAAAAATTGATATTATATATAGAAGAAATTAATTATGCATGAAACTAGTGTTTCTTTTCCTCTAAGCCAAAGGAGTTTATTAAGGCCAGGAAGACTGTAGAGTTAGGATTCAGCAAATAGGCTAGTACGTAAAAAAAGAAACAAGTTAAAGCCTCACTGCAATCAAACAAAACATCATCTATTCTATTCACCCCAGTACTTCATTATGTTTGGTTTTGTCTTCAATTATTGCCATATATGTTGTCTGAATTAAATTAAGGAGAACTACTTTTAAATGGTCCTTATGATCATTCTTGTAAGTTCTTCTTCGAGCTTGAGTGTTTTCTTTCTTTCTTTATTTTTCAAACCTTCCCATAACAAAGAGTAGAAAGTAATTAGAATCAATGAACAGCCGTCCATCCCAAAATCTCTAATACAGTAATTTATGAAACTAATTTTCAAGTTTTATTTCATAATAGTTGCTTTTTTTATTATTATATTAAAAATGGAAAGGTTCAAATCCAACCAACCATTTGAATAAAAAAACACATAATCATTGAATAAAACACTCGTATATTGTAATGAAATTATATAATGATAAATACATATGATTAACTTTAGAAATGAATATTTCAAACAATTACATCAAAAGATCTTTTTTTCTTGAAAAGAATTTTCTATTTCCCTTATTCAACGCAAAAGACATATTTTTAGTTCAATGTGATAAGGAATACTTTTATGCGTTTAAAAAAATAAAATGAAAGAGATCAATGTCTTCACAAAACTAGAGAAAAAGGAAACCATTCTTGGCATATCTCATAAAGACTACTTAACTGAAACAGTATCTCAAATTTTTTAAAATTAAGAAGATATTATCCAGTTACAAAGAAAAGTCTAAGAAAAAAAAAAGCATTAAAACAAACCTCCAAATAACGATGACTAACAAATAAATCCAATCCACTCCCAAGTCCCAATAATAGTGACGTGAAAAATCAACCCACATATATAATATGGGTGAAATGTCTACAAAATTTTAGGAAATTCGAAATCGTTGATAGGAAAACTGATATGAAACCTACTGTCTACATTAGGGAAAGTTTATGAAATACTTGAATTTCTAGTGAGTCTTGTAAATCACACAACCACCATCTTCCCTCCCCCTCTCATTGCCTCCCCAAGAAAGCTTCGGGTTTTAACTGTCCTCCCCCTCTCATTGCCTCCCCAAGAAGGCTTCGGGTTTCAACTGTCATAATCTATGTACGCAGACAACTAGCAAAGGCAACTATAAGCAAGTTAAATCATGGAACTAGGAAAGACTTCTCATTAAACAAGCAATTTGATGTTTTGGAAGTTATAGGAAATTATCCGCTTCTTAAATCTTGACTAAACATAGACATGTAAAGAAAGATGAGGTTGGGTTTAAAATATATATATATATATATATATATATATATATATATGGAAGAAAGGGATATTCGCCCGGTTCTTTTGAGTATGGAATACATGCAATTATCATTGATTTAAATATTAAGATTTAAAATGTGATTTTTTTCGTTTGACCTGCTCATGCATGAAGGATTTTTTGTGATCTTTCTTTTTCGTTTCAAAACTCTCTTTCTCCCATTTTTTTTAATCGTATTTCAACAAGCTAAATTTTTAATGTCTACAATAGGTTGAGATATGTTATACGTTTAACGGTTTTGAAACGAAAAAGTGGATTATTTTTATAAAATTTGATGTCCCAACGGAACGGATTCCTCATTTACAAAACTAATTCACATCCAAACTAAACCAGTTTATATATTTGAAGATCAAAAATTAACTTATCATATATAGAACCACTTAAAAACAATTACCATCATAGTATATAAGATATTAGATGTAGACCAGAAAACTTTGAGCATTTTCAGTTTATGATTTAAGACGTAAGATTTAGGAACAATAACTCTGCATTGCCTTTAGTGTTGTTTGATAAATTGAAACATTGAATTTGAATTATAAAAATTGTTTAGAAATGTTATTAAAATTTAAGTACTAAATATAAGTATGATTATTGTTAATTTTCTTTTATTTAGTTTTTAATTTTCATAGTTAACATCTTTCATTGTATCAAAAGAAATATCTCAATTGTTAAAAGAGTTTGTAATTAATGCATTTTTAGTATATAAATGTTATATATTATTAGTGCATCACAAATTGTTACATTGTTAATTCACAAACTTAAAATTTCAGAATCCTTAAAAATAAATATTTTTAAATTTTAAATATTTAATTATCTAAAACAAAATAATAAATAATAACTTGTGATACACTAATGTCGAATAATGTTTACACTCATGATGCATTAAATATAAATTAATATGATATTTCAACTTAGATAAATGCCAATTCCAACAAATAAAGGGTGTGGTTTACAATATTAGAATTAGCTATTACAAACAAAAAAAGAAAAAGAATTGTTTCCTCCAAATCTTATTATCAAAAACAAAATATGTAATGAACCATAACTAACATATTAATATATTTGTTTTTGGTTAAGCGTCAAGATTTCTTGATTTTGTCCGGTATATTCCTTTTAGAATTAATTTAAATAAGTTTATTTATGTTATATTTAATAAATTTATAAAAAAATTACTTTTTCACAATCTCTTAACAGTTTTGAAGAACCCAAACAGAAAAAGAGAACACATTTTTTTTCCCACTAAATCAACCACGCTATATCAACCAAACAATTACTTGATATCAATCCTATGGGCACAATTAATAATATTTACGGAATAACTCTTTCCAGTGTCGCATTTTGATTTATTGAGCATTTAATTATAAACACAACAGTAAAGCAAACTATATAACAATTAAGTACGTACTCTATTTATCACTAATGAGTTGTTTACAGCTCTAAATCTTAAATGTAAATTCTATATAATTAGCATATTGGCATTTTGAGAATTAATTGTTTTTTAACAAATTAACTAGATAAGTGGGATACAAGTAAATTAAAGATAAAATTACAATTAGGAAAAGAATTGTTCAAAATTAATGCCACCCAAATTTACAATTTAGATAAACCGCCCAGAGAGTCATATCAGTTGTGAAAGTCGGCAAGAGAGAATCGTATCAGTTGTGGAAGTTTAATGCATTTTTTCCTTCAATAGCGTTGTCGGTCAAAAGACTTTATCCAAGCTCTTTTGTCAAATTGCATTGTTCTCCACTATTTTGGCACTATTTCGGTACCAGGTGACTTGTATATAAATGCCACCTACAACTCTTTTTTCCCTAATCCACACTCTCTCCGCTTCTATCTGATTACCGCATCAATTGATCTTTTAATTCTCTCTTTCTGATCTTGCTATAGCATGACGAGTCCTAGCCATACGGTGAATTTCTCAGCACCGAGAGGCTTTATCACTGCCTTCAAATCTGATTGCAAAGAAACTTTCTTCCCAGACGATCCGTTTCATAAGTCCAAAGACAAACCTTTGCTCAAACTCAAGAAAAAAATCCAATACTTTGTCCCATTATTTGAATGGTTACCCAAATACAATCTACATTTGCTTAGATATGATTTGCTTGCTGGTATCACCATTACCAGCCTTGCAATCCCTCAAGGAATTAGCTATGCCAAACTCGGTGATATTCCTCCAATCAACGGCCTCTGTAAGCTATAGCACCTTTTAAAAATGGATTAGTAATATTAATTTTTCAATTTCATTACAAAAAATTTCCTAACTAGGCCGAAAAATCTTTTTGGTTTAATGGGCTTGGTTTCATTTCCTTGAAAAAGTGATGGATCAATATTTATATGGTGCAGATTCAAGCTTTATACCGCCGTTTGTTTATGCCATTTTCGGGAGTTCAAAGCACCTTGCGGTGGGAACAGTGGCAGCATGCTCATTGCTTATATCTGACACGATTGGAGCTAAAGTATCACCGAAAGATGATCCCACATTGTATCTTCACTTAGTTTTCACAGCCACTTTCTTCACCGGAATTTTCCAGACTGCTTTAGGCTTTCTGAGGTCGACTGATAACCATTTATACATTAGCTTTGGTTGTAGTATTTGATTTCATAATTTTAATTTCTTCTTATTCAGTATTTTTGTTCAGGTTGGGAATTTTGGTTGATTTCTTATCACATTCTACGATCACTGGTTTCATGGGAGGGACTGCTATAATAATTTGCCTGCAACAATTGAAAGGCATATTTGGTTTAAAACACTTCACAACTCATACTGATGTGGTTTCGGTTCTACGTGCAGTTTTCAGCCATAGATATGAGGTTAATGATCAGTGAAATCAGTACTATACAAAGTTAACTTTATTGAGTCTTCTATTTATAGCATTATTGCTTAAAATTCTAATGAGCAAACGATCTTGAAATGGCTTTTATAACATGAATGGAATGTGAGCAGAAAATTCTTGTGTGTGCAGTGGAGGTGGCAAAGCGCTGTTGTTGGTGTAGTCTTCCTTGCTTTCCTCCAATTCACTCGATTCCTGGTGAGTTTAATTTTTCTCATCCCCAAGGCCAAGACCTATAAGGAAAAATATGACTCATCATTTAGAATCAGCAGTGATGTCATGCATACTGCATAAATAGAAGATATAGCAACAGCAAAACAAGTTGATAACAAACATTTATCCCATAGTAACTGCCATGCCAACATAGTTCCTAGCAAAAATAATAAATAAAAGTATGATAACACTTTAACAATGATTATATATGAGTTTAGTAAAATAAAAAATATATATTTTATATTTTTATGTTAACATAAATTTTAACATATAATTTTTATATAAAATATAAAAATACGATAATATGATACGAATATGATATAAAAAAATAATATTATTTAAAATTTTAGTAATGATTAAATATAAATTTAATAAAATTAAAAAATTATATTTTATATTTTTGTATTGATACGAATTTTAATATATAATTTTCGTGTAAAATATGATACGAATATTTAAATTTTAATATTTTATATGATTTGAATATATGAATTATCAAATTAAAAAAAGTTGAAAATTTTTACCATTCCGTTGACTACTTCATCGTTATCATCGTCACATATAAGATTAAAATCAAATGGATTTCTTGGGAATTCACAAAGATAATTAAATTAATATAGTCATCTTTAATATAATTCTCCCTTTACCCTTCTGTTCAGCACGCAGTTCAATTAAGCCAACACACAATTATTTACTCTTGAACCCCAAGAACTATTCCATATTAATTGGGAAAGGAATTTTATCTTCTACTATTTTTTTTTTCTATAATTCTCTGCTTACTGTAAATGTAGCCCTGTAGCAGGCTATAGTCCTGCTTTTATTGTATGAATACGAAATTTTTTACTTATCCAAAAAAATATGGAAAATATTTAAAACATGAACCAACGAATATGAAAGCCACAAGAATAAATTTTTTATGCCCTACTGTAATTTTAATGTTATTTATCCTTTTACCATGTATTCAGAGACAAAAAAAACCAAAACTATTTTGGGTATCAGCTATGGCTCCAATGGTCGTTGTCGTGGTTGGTTGTCTTTTTGTATTTTTTGCTCATGCAGACAAATATGGAATCCAAATTGTAAGTTCATTTTTAGTTCGTTCTAGTATTAGATTTTCAAATTTTTTATAATTATTTTCTTTAGTTTCTCTTCTTTGCTAGCAGCAGTTTGATCTTATAGGCAATCTTTTTTTTCTGGGTTTCAGGTTGGTGACTTGAAGAAGGGACTAAATCCTCCCTCAATTCAATATTTGAACTTCGATCGCCGCTATCTTCCAGTAACTGTGCAGGCTGGTCTTGTCACAGGGCTTGTTGCATTGGCTGTAAGAATTCCAACCTTTTTTCTTTTACTATCATTTTTACTCAACTTTTTTTTAGTTAATATATAAAGCTGTGAAAATCCTATAAATGAATCATCTTCAAAATGAAACTTCCAGGAAGGAATAGCGATAGGACGAAGCTTTGCCATCTTGAAAAATGAACAAACTGATGGGAACAAGGAAATGATAGCCTTCGGTTTCATGAACGTCATCGGATCTTTCACTTCCTGCTACTTGACAACAGGTATATAATTCTTCAATATTTCAGGGTTTTTTTAGAACAATTTAAGCAGGAATTATAAGCATATTCTGATGTTTCTTTGATGTTTGATCTGCAGGGCCATTCTCAAAAACGGCTGTGAATTTCAATGCTGGGTGCAGGACAGCAATGTCCAACATCGTAATGGGATTTTGCATGATGTTAACACTCCTGTTCTTGGCTCCTCTCTTCAGTTATACCCCTCTGGTAGCACTATCTTCCATTATCATGTCTGCAATGCTTGGACTAATCAACTATGAGGAGATGCTTCACCTATTTAAAGTCGATAAATTCGACTTTGTCATCTGCATGGCTGCCTTCCTTGGTGTCAGTTTCATAAGCATGGATGTTGGCCTCATACTTTCGGTAAGGAATTCTTCCAGAAAATACTATCAGAATTGGAAGAACTGAAATGGAGTGAAATATATCTGCTGCAGCATTTTTAACTATAATATTATATATTATTTCAGGTGGGACTTGCTTTACTTAGAGCACTTTTGTATGTGGCAAGGCCTGCTGCCTGTAAGCTTGGAAAAATTCCAAACTCAACTTTATATCGTGACACAGAGCAGTACCCTGGCTCAACACCGATGCAGGGAATCCTTGTTCTTCAACTTGGTTCCCCTATTTATTTTGCAAACTCTACCTACATAAGAGAAAGGTATACATATCTTCAGGGCAAAAAAGATACAAGTAATTGGTACCCAGAAAATTATGGTCATTAATCAATGGCAATTTCCAATTTGTTTTGGCTGAATTTTGAGCAGGATTCTGAGGTATATTCAGAAGGAACAAGGTATTTCAGATTCTAAAAGTGACGTTATTGAGCATCTTTTGCTAGATTTGTCAGGTAATTACATATTCCTACAAAATCCACGACCAAATTTGATATAATTAAACAAAATCTAGCCACGAGATTTTGATTTTGATTTTGGTAGAACCTTAACAAAAAAAAGGAATAAAATTCATGTATCAGTAACCATCATATCCATATTTATCAGTACATATAACAGTAACAAATTATTTATCTATTTTGACTGATACATTAGACTATGGTGGTTTGCAGGAGTTTCATCCATTGACATGACAGGCATTGAGACATTCGTTGAACTACGTAGAATTCTGGACGCGAAGGGTATCAAGGTAAACTTAAACATGCATGTTCCCTTTCCATTGAAGCTTGGAGTTTTAAACGTAAGAAAGAAACTAAAAATTTGTGTTTTAACCATCTTTTGCAGTTAGCAATAGTAAACCCGAGGATTGAAGTTCTGGAGAAAATGACGTTAGCGAAATTCACAGACGCCATTGGGAAGGAATCTTTCTACTTGTCTATTGAAGATGCAATCCAAAGTGCTCGATTTTCACTTGATAACAAAGCAACGGAAGAATCCTCAAACGACCAAAATGTTGCTTAAAGGATACTTGCTGTATTATATATGTATGCCTATGAATCATCGGCGTTTATCTCGATTAGTAACATAAATCCAGGCCAGTTTTCCAGGTCCTAATTCGACCATTCCTCTAAATTCAACAAAGGGGTTAGTAATGTGATGTTGCAGTTAAGGTTTTTCTGTTTAGTGGCGGTGAAAACAAAGAAAAAAGGTGCATAGCCGGCGGCTATGTTGCTGGTGATTGAAGGCCAAGCTGTTGTCATGTAAATGATGAGAATCATGAGATAATCCTGATCTGTTGGATAAATATGATAATTTTTGTTTCTTTCTCTGCCTCTTTTTTCTGTTTTCTTGTCCAATCAGCTTGTAATTTGATCATATTTTTGAATTGGAGGATGAAGCTCATGTACTTGCACCATGCCAATAAAGATCAACCAGTTTTTTTTTTTTTTTTTAATAACAGCAGCATTTTTCATTTTTGTCATGGATTTAAGGCATTAAGCCTTCCAAGATAGTCGAATTGTCCAACTACTACAGACTACAGAGGCTTTATCGATTCAAATTATGACGAGTTAATCTTTTTTCCAAAACCAAAGTAAAAGAAAAGAAAAACATGAAACGGTTAAAACTGGAAAATATCATTCTTATTCAAAACTGTCATCCTTCACCTATTGACCCAGTGGCCTATTCCAATGTCCTAACTCCCAATAAGGCATGATATACAACTAAACATACTAAAGTTACTTTGATATAAATTTGGAGTTCAATCTGGTTGATTTATGCCATCTTTTAAATTGGTTTTCAACAAATCAATAACTGAATTTTTTTTTATTCTTAAACTGGAGCCTCTCTTGTACCAAAAACTATTTTGATAAGGTTAAGAATACTATTAAAATCAACCAATTTAATGAATCTTTTATTGTTTAACCTTAAATCCTTAATCACTTAAACAAAAAATACCCACAATCATCATAATTCGGAGCAACCATTTATTCAATGTTCTTCCTTTACACGGTAATTAATTTTTCCAATTTCATTTGTCTTTCATCTGTATATCTGTCCAATTCTTCTCTTAACCTACTTCACGCTCTGTTTGGTTGTCCGAGAAAAGGACTTATAGTTTCCATTTATGATCGAGTTCTTTTTTTTTTTGGTGATTTTGTAGCCTCTCAAGACTCAAATAAAAGTTAAATATTTTTTTACCTTTTTCATGAGAAAATAAAAGGTAAATATTCTACGGTTCCAATCAAAATTCTCCTTTAATTTCGGATCCTTTCTGAGTAAACTTTGTTTTTAGACTATTGAATATTGGTATTATTTTATTTTTTAGACTATTGAATATTGGTATTATTTTATACTGCCTTTGTGTATAAATTAGTGTCGTGACATGTTGTAGCAATGCTAGAGTAAGGAAAGACTATTAATATCAGAAGAATGCAATGTTTGGAGACTGAGAATTTGATTCAGCAATGTTAGAGGAAGAATGATATATCTGGCTATCATGTTAACTTCAAATCCAGACACGTTACGCACTCGTGTGTTGTAAAAACCTAAATCTTGGACGTCTATAGAAAAAGTGGAAAATATAGGAGAATATTGAATGCTGAATCAGTTAGAAGGGACAAGAACATAACATACACGGCGTCTAAGGATGATAACTTGTTTCCTTTGTATATTGTTTAGATTTATTTATTACTACTTTAAAAAGTTGAGAAAAAAAGGGTAAATTTGTTCTAAATTCTTAAGTTTTAATTATAATTCAACTCAAGTCCATTCATCTAAAAAATATACACTCTCTTTTAATTATTCTATTACAGGTCTTATTAAAAAAATCATTTTATGCCTGAAAATTTAATATTTTCAAATATTCACATAAAACAATAATTTATAATAATATATTCATTTTTTTTATACATATATATATATATATTTACATCTTAACATATTTATAATTATTAGTTTTGTTTTTATATGTTACATTTAAAAATCATTTTATATTATTAATAAGTTTATGTATTTTGAGAAAAAAAATAATTTACCCTTAAAATACTATTAACAAATTTTTAATTTAGGTATGACATTAAAAATTTTTAAAATTCAATTATTACATTCTAAATCTAATATATATATGTATATATATTATATTACATCATACAAGGTTACATAATCAAAATTATTTATGTGGATGCTTAAGTAGATAATCTCTTTTAATGACACATAAAATAATATTTATATTATTTTATTTATCAAATAAATTTTTTTAATAAATTATTTAAATTGAATATTTTGGATAATTATTTAAATTGAAATCAAAATCTATCTAAGATTGAAATTTTTGCATAAGATTTGAATCCAAATATATTAAATCATAATTTATCTTTTCTTTTTAAATTTAATGACAGTTCCAAATATATATACTTAATAAAATTTTATTTTCTATCAAATAATTCTATTTAATAAATTATTTAAATTTAATATTTTTAGATAATTATTTAAATTCAAATCAAAATCTATCAAAAATTAAAAAATATTTAATAGATTATTTAAATTTAATTTTTTTAGATAAGTTAATGAATTATTGACTAGAAAGTATGTATTTATAAAGTAATAAAAGCTTACATTTTTATATGAAAATATGAGACATCTGAATGTTGATAAAAAAGTTAGATAAAAATATGTTTTTGCTTTGAAAACAAATATAATGTTTTATTTATGTTCTAATTTAAATATTTTTATATTATATATTTGGTTAATTTATTTGTTTCTCTTTAGTCCATAACTTCTTTTAATTTTGCTTAGATTGATTATAATTAACTTTTTGTATTATATATTTTTCTGTTTTATTCATTTCCTCAATGTTTTTATTCTCTGTTAATTTATTAACATATTTACTTTTATTATTGTATATATTTAATCTTGACAAATTAATATGCAAATTTATATTCCTATTTCCTTATGCTATACTTTTTATTATTAAATTTCTTTGTTTACAATGGATGATATGAGAAGAATGATGATCAGTGTCATATCTAACTTACAAAAAATATTATCAATTATGTTAAAAATGATTAAAAATAAAAAAATATTTTAAAAAAATTTTAAGCATAACATAAAGAATTATTGTTTCCCTTTTATCTAAAAGTTAACTTTATTTTGTTGACATATATAGAAATAATTGTTAGCCCAATATATTTGTGTAATAATTACTTGAAGTATATCAAAAATAAAAACTAATAAAAGATTAAACAAAATTAATAATTGTGATTTGTTGTTCAATCAAATATATATATATATATATATATATATATATATACACACACATCACCCAATCAACATTATGATAAAAAATGTTATTAATCTTAACTATTTAAATATTGATTCTTGATTTTTATCAAACAAGAAAAAAGTGGTAGCAAAATTTTAGTATTTAGCAAATAAATTGAAGAAAATATTTTTTAATGAAAAAAAGGATTTTTGTAATTCTTGAAAATTTACAAAAGTTTAGACTTCTTTTAGATGAACAATATCATTTATAATATATTATGTATAAATTTACATTTAATTGTAACTTAACATTTATAAATATATAATTATATATTAGATAAATAATTAAAAAATTAATAAAAAATTTTGTTAAAAAACCCTTTACGGTATTAAGCCATTGGATAACACCAATAGAGTAATTACACTATCATATTTTGACTAGAGTTTTAAGTCTAGTGACCAACTACATTTTTCCATCGAACTCTTTTCTCACTTTTGACATTGATTCTTTATTTTTTTTATTTTTGCCTTTAAAATTATATTATTGAAAAAAATATTTATGCCATTTTTTATTTTTTTTTGTTTTTTTTTTATTTTGAGTTTTTTATTTAAAAATATTAAAATAACTTTGTTGATTTAAAATAATAAAAAAATATTATTATATAAAATTTATTATTACATAATAAATAATATATATTAATACTTTGATTTAAAATATAATTTTCAAACTTTTAAATATTATAAATAACATTAATATATATAAATAATTTATTAATATCTTTTTAAAGAAAAGTCCTTAAAAGTTATTTTTTATCTTCATATACCACTATTGTTTTTGTATTCAAACATTGTTATAATAATTAATCTTACTTTCATAATTAATAATTAATCTTACTTCCATCATTTTAAATAGACACTAAATTTTTTTATCAATGTTGTTGGTCATTTAAGCATGTGAAATGAAGCATGCATGTGAAAGGAAAGGGTCGCAAGGAATCATAAACTAAACAAAAGTATAATGTATTCTCTTTGAAATCTATGAAATTGTAATAACTGATTGCAACTAATTCATGGGAGATGGAAGGCAGTTTGAATTAGAAATCAATATAAATTGAAATCTAGACAAGAAATTGATAAGAATGAATAAAAAAATTGACATGACAATTGACAAGCATTGTATTCAGGTCTTAATTCAGGAGTTGATGTTAGATATTTACTCAAATTCTAATTAGGAATCAGTTTGAATTTCAATAAAATTATATTAGTTAAAAAATTACTTGGTAATTAAGTTTATTTAAGGATAAATATTTTTAACAGGTAAGAGTTTTCAGTAAATAGGAATTCGTTGTGATAAAGTAACAAAGCCTTATAAATATAGAGTGAGTATTAATTTTTAAAATTATGTAAGAGAGTTATGAGATCTCTATATGGGAAATTGATTTATAGGGATATGAAAAAGAGTTTGTTTGGAAAAACACCGGTTGCATGGGATAAAGGATATTCCATATGTTATACATTAAGGAGCATAAAAACTAGGATTATTTCAAGGGCTTGAGATTAGTAATTGTTTATGGTATTTTGTACTCTTTGTAATCTTTATATTTATAGTAGTTTTTCTCTCTCATCTGTGAATGTAGGCAATTAGCTAAACCACGTTAACTATTGCCTTTTACGTGTGATTCATTTTGTATTGATCTCATTGTAGAATTTGTTTCTGTTTAAAAATTTTCAATAAGTGATATTAGCGCTAAGTTACCACCATATCCTCATGAGTTAAGTATAAAAGCTCTCCCCTATAACTCGATGTATGAAAAGGGGAGCTGGTTGAGGTTATCTCACATCAATTGTGGAAAGAGATTTGTTGTTGTAGATTGTATTCATGAGATTGGAGAAATCTAAGAGAAGATGTGCTGCAATAAGGTATTAGTTACAAGTGGAGTCAGCTAGGTGAAGTTGATTTAGCTGTACACAAGTATTGACCATTTTGTTTGAATTAGGTGAAGTCAGCACTGATTCAACTATACGTAGTTGTAATTTCTTAAAGATCAATGCTGTGGTAGACTTTGTGTCAATGTGGAGATTTGTTAGATATTGACTTAAATTTTAATTAGAAATCAATTTGAATTCCAATGAAAT